CACACACACACACACAGAGAGAGAGAGAGAGAGAGAGAGAGAGAGAGAGAGAGAGAGAGAGAGAGAGTGGAGAGGTAGAGTGGGAGAGAGAGAGAGAGAGGGAGAGAGGGAGAAAGTAAAAAGAAGGGCGTGAGTGAGGAGATATAGGGTCTGGTTAGACACTCCTAAAAGAATCCTAAAATTTTTAGGATGAGTCCTAAAGGATTTTTAGGATTTCGTGCGGCGTCGTTACACGCAATCCTAAAAATCATCTTTTAGGATTCGTCCTAAAAGGTCTCCCTCGGCTGGTTTTCATATGCGTATACGCAGCCGCGTCCCCAATGTCCATCCATTCCTGCCAACGTCCGTCCAATCCCCGCCAACGGATACCGTTCGTGGGCGATGTCCAACCAATGACCTGACGGACTGCTTCTGCACCAGCAACTCCGTGTCTATGGTGCCATGCGTGCGACGCAACCAGTCCGTGAAACACGGGAATCCTTAATTTTTCAGTAGGTCGGGGGCTACTGGAAAATTTAGGACGATTTTGCCTGCGGAATCCTAAATCCTTTAGGACTCGTCCTAACGCTGTTTTCACATTTTCGATCTAAAAATTGGATTTAGGATTGCGTGCAACCAAGACGCAATCCTAAAAACAGGCACTTTTAGGAGTGTCTAACGAGAGCCATAGGCGGGAAATCGAACCGCAGACTAGCTGGCTATATTTGCCTTGCAGGCGGGGCAGGTGGTAAGTGTCAGTAATGCCCGCGGCCAGCTGTTCGGCAGATCCGACCATTCTGCACCTCCAGCAGGCCTCGCCCTTTCCCTCTTCCCTTTTTATTAATTTTCTCCTTTTCCTTTCCTTTCTTTTCTCTTTTTCCCTTTTTTCTTTTTTAGTTAGAAGTGGGCTTTTGTCGCGTCCCTGTGGACAGATAAAAGTATCCAGTTCGCTACTCTCGGCCTTTTTGGGTTCGGTGGATTTGGGTTGGCGGAGTGAGCCCCCCTCCGGATGGACGGTTGGCTACCGTCCGAAAGGCGGCGTCGGGGAGAGCCGTGGAAGAGTAAGGATATGGCTGACACTTATGATGTCACGTGTCGTTTTCTGAGAAATCGGACTTTGCATGATGAATCCTGGTGATGTCTTCGAGCTCCTGTGCTGACTGTGCTTGTTTTATGAATTCGAAGAAGAATCCGGGATAGGACACATACTGTTTATCTGTTGCATTGTGCATATTCTGCTTGCT